TCTCCCCTCACAGTTCCCTCTCTGAAGCCCAGGGCTGAGACAAAATAGCATTACTCCTGACACCAGTGTGAAGGGTAATCCTGCCTGCCAACCTGTGTCAGAGACACCTAAGAGACTAATAAAGCACCCCCAGACATGCCTGTTAGAACATTTTCAGGGAAATGTAGCTTCCTGACCACTACGAGATAAATGGCCTACACTTCCACATAGTCTTTCAGCCATGATGTTTAGTGTGGCCTCATACTCAGAGCAAGAGAGCCAGCTGCCCACAGACTGAAATCTCTGACTCCCCAAAGCAAAATAAGGCGTGTCTCCTTTAGCCTGGTTCTCTCAAGTAGCTGTCACAGCCATGAAAATCCTGCCTCACATGCAAGCTCAGAGGTGTGTCTGCAGCCTTAAAAACAAAGAAGAAAATCATGGGGTGTGTCCAGCAAGTGTCCAAGGCTCCTAGCAGCTCTCTCAAAGAACTCACAGCCTGTTACTTTCCCAATGCTCAATCATTATCCTGTGCACTGCTCAAGTAATCTGCAGCAGTGCTATAAGGAAGGAATTATTCTTACCCCATTTTAAAATAGGGGAACTGGGGCAAAAAGAAACCAAGCTATTGTGTAATGTCACGCAACAAGTAGATGACAGGATAAAGACTCAAACCCCAGTTACCTCCTCCACACTTCTGTGCAGTCGCTTCTGCTGTCTGTGCACGTGGCTGACTGTTACAGACAGAATGTCTGTGTCCTCCCCACAAATTCACATGCTGAAGTCTAACCCCTGGGTGATGGTATTGGACTGCAATGAGGTCACAGGATATCTTGGTTAGTTTATGTCAACTTGACATAAGCTAGAGTCATTTGGAAAGACGGACACTCAATTGAGAAAATAAGTCTGCCTGGTGTTTTCTTGATTGATGATTGATGTGGGAGGGCCCAGCCTCCTGTGGGTAGTACCGCCTATAGGAAGGCAGTCTTGAGTTGTGTAAGAAAGCAGGCTGAACAAGCTGTGGGGAGCAAGCCAGTGAAAAGCTTACCTCCATAGCTTCTGATTCAGTTCCTGTCTCCAGGTTCCTGCCTTGGCTTCCCCTGATGATGGGATGTTACCAGTAAGCCAAATAAACCCTTTCTTCCTTAGTTGTCTCTGGTAATGTGTTTTACCACAGGAGTGGAAAACCAAAGTCATGAGATAATTAGAGTTAAACAGGACCCTGAACTGGTAGAATTAATGCCTTTATCAGAAGAGAAAACAAGGGCTGGGACGAGGGCTCTCAGTAGGCAAAGGGCTTTCTGCACAAGCATAAGGACCCTAAGTTTGGACGCCCACATAAAAAGACGACCATGGCAGTCAGCCTGTAACCCCAGCATTTGGGGTGTGAGGCAGAGACAGGTGGATCCTTGGGGTGAGCTGCCTGAAGAGTCTAGCTAAGTGGCAAGCTCTAGGTTCGATGAGAGAACCTGTTTCAATAAAACAAGGCAGAGAAATGCTTGAAGAAGACATTTCAGCATCCCTCTGGTCCCCACACATATCTGCATAATAAGCATACATGCATTCGACAAGAGACAGAGAGACAGAAACAGAGAGACACACAAGTTTGCTGTCATGGAGTTCACATAAATACATAGAAAAACAGAGTCAAAACAACAGGCCTCAAAATCAGGGTTCCCAGAACTGTGAGAAGGAAATGTCTGTTGTTTAACTTGTGTTAGTTTATCACAGCAACCTGACTGGCATCACACTCCAAGAAGGTTGAGGGTTCCAGCTGACCTTTGCCTGGGACAAGTACTTGGCAGACAAGATGCAGATCTGGCTTCTGCTCCAGCCTGTAACCTGGTTGAGGGTAGAGATGGCACTGTGCACTGCCTCAGGGGAGAGGGATTCCAGCTCACTGATGCTCAGACCCACAACTGCATCTGACAGAGAGCCTAGGGTCTCATTGAGGGTCTGGTTCTCTGTAGCAATGTCCAGGAGGTTGGCCTTGAGCTGGAAGGAAAACAAATGGGCATGAGCCTTGATAGAAAGCAAGACAGCAATTCTCTTGGACCACATCCTAGGTGTAAGGACTCCATACTGCCCTCTCTAGACATGAGCCCAGGGACAGCAAAGCAAGGGAATCTTGGTCATGGTCAGACAGTGACTGGCTCCCTGAGAATGTCTCCTCCAGGCCTGGCTTTCATGTACTGAAAATTCACTTTGGGTTTCATTTAAATATTAATGTGTTGTTAAATCAACCTCCAAGCATGGCAGGAAGAATTCGATTTCCTTGTAACTCCATCAAAATTGTAGTGTCTATTTTCCTATTGTGATCTTTAACTCTATATCCATATATTTGGCTGCTTTCCTTTTGTGAACTACCCATGGGCTTTCTCATGGTAATATATAATCTGCATAAAAAATAATTCTCAGCAGTACAAGAAAGATAAAGTGAAAATCCAAACTCATGAAAGTAACCACAGAAATGAGCAAATGAGCATAGGGCTTGGTCAAAGAACACTTTCCAAAGCTGGGAAGGACAGAGTAGGAAGAAAGGAAGGAGGAGGGTAGGGAAAAAAGAGGGAGGAAGGGGAAATAAAGGAGGGGAGAGGAAGGAAGAGTGAGGGGAGGAAGGAAGGGAGGAAAGGAAGTAGGAAGAGGAAGGAGAGGAGGAATGAAGGAAAGAGAGAGGGATGGAAGGAAGGAGAAAGGGGAGGAAATAAGAAGGGGTGAAGGAAGGAGGTAAGGAAGGGAAGAAGGAAGACATTGGTCCTATGGCTTGAGAAATACACAATGTGAAATTCCTTACAGATTTATAATATGAACAGAACTACTTAATGCTCTATATTTACTTTTAAATAATATGTTGTACATGTCTGCATGTTTCTAAGATTGTCTTATTGAATATTTTTATTGCAATACACCTCCCTAATTACAGTAAAGAATTCCTATCTGATTCTGGTAAGGAAGGTAATAAACTCAGCAACTATATCATAGCCTCTGCACAAATAATAATAATAATAATAATAATAATAATAATAAATGATGATGAGAGGCCAGTGAGGTGCTTCAGCAAGAGGAGGTACTTAGCCACCAAGCCTCATGACCTCAGTTGGATCCCTAGACCCCACAGAGTGGGTACAAATAACTGACTCTCAAGTGTTCTCTGACACATAAACATGCACACACATGAATACACTAAAGAAATAAGTAAAAATAATAAATAAATGCAAAAAATGAGAATAGTGATCTATTTTAACACTTGATCATTTCAATCACTCATACATAGCCCTTACATATGCAATCTTGAAATTGACGCTTGGGGGCAGCAGAGTTAAGAGGAAGAAACCAGTTCAGGCTCTCACTTCAGCAGGCTCCCTTCCCCAGTGCTGTTCCCAGGCCACAGAAGGAAGAGATCACTACAGTGGTCCCAAGCACCAGCAGCATCGTAGGTGGCTACAGATGTACAGTCCCAGGCCACAACTTGAAGAATCAGCTGGTAGCACAGAACCCAGTGGTATGCACTGTAAGGAGTCAGACCAATGAGCCCTCAAATCTGAGAACTGCTTCCTAACCTGCTTCCCTGAAGGGGTCCCCCACCCCATGTCTAGTTGCATTTGTCTTTCTTATGGCCACAAAACACAATCATTTTCTTTCTTATTTTTGCTTGAGCACAAAAATAGGCCTTGACAAATAACTGACCATAGTGGGAGATGCCAAACATAACAAGGTATTTGGAATTATGTGTGAAGAAACTGCTGTGGAAATACTGGTGGCTTTACCAAGATTTTCTTTTAATAGCATTGTAATGTGATGGCTCTAATTTTTAATTAGGAAAAGAGGGATCTAAAATTTGAATGGGGCCGGGCAGTGGTGGAGCACGCCTTTAATCCCAGGACTCTGGAGGCAGAGGCAGGCGGATCTCTGTGAATTCGAGACCAGCCTGGTTTACAAGAGCTAGTTCCAGAACAGGACAGCCTCCAAAGCCACAGAGAAGCCCTGTCTTCAAAAACCAAAAAAAAAAAAAATTAAAAATTAAAAGTAAAAAATAAAGTAAAATTTGAATGGGAAAAATAGAAACAAGAAGTCTAGATGTGGTAACACATGCTTGAAATCCCAGCACTGAGGTGGCTGAGGCAGGAAGATTGCAAACTTGAGGCCAGTCTGGGATACATAACTAGACTTCACTGAAAAATAAACAGAAAGAGAAAAGGATGGACGAGGGAGAGGAAGCCATCTGTATTTGCTAATTTGACCCAGAAACAAGTCTAGAACTCAGTAAATAACAGACATTTCAGACATTCATCCAGGGTTCCTCCATCCTGCCTGTATTGGGACCATCTGGAGAGTTTCATCATTCATTCATTCATTCAAGGAGAAGTAGGGTTGTTCATGTACCCCAGCACTCACGTAGCAGTCAGGGGACAACTTGCAGGAGTCAGTTCTCTCTCACCACCATGTGGGTTCTGGGGATCAAACTTGGGTCGTCAGCTTGGTCCTTGCCCTGGCGATCATTTTTCCCCTCCTATTCTCAGGGTTAAACTTGGGGACCCACACAATTTGTGCAAGAATTCTACCACTGAGCTACATCCCTAAACCCTCTTCTTATATAGTTTTTTTTTTTTTCGAGACAAGGTCTTACTCAAGCTGACTCTGAATTTGTGACACTTCTGCTTCAGACTGCCAAGCAGCTGGGATCATAGGTCTGTGCCACCATGCTGGGCCTCTGAACTTCTTTAGAAATATGGCATGCCCAGGCCACTTCCCTAGACCAGTAACGTCAGTCCCTGGTGTGGAGGCTGGCAGAACCTTGACTCCTGCTGAGCCCCTTGTACTATGATTGCATCATCTGTCCCTCAGCCACTTGTCAGCACTGCTGGCCTCTCCCCAGACCTCTGAGCAGATCCGCACTTAAGGCCCACCAGCTGTGCTCAGTGCAGATGTTAAGATTCCCGGATGACACTTCATTTCTGTTGGCCGTGGTTGTTCTGATTGTGTTTCAACACATCCAAATTTCCTGTGCAGTATTTGTTGTTTTTTCCAATATGGAACACTTCATGAATTTGTGTATCATCCTTGCACAGGGGTCATATTAATCTTCTCTATATCATTCCAGTTTTAGCATATGTGCTGCTGAAGCGAGCATGTGCTTTTTTTGTTTTGTTTTGTTTTTTGTAATTCCTTCCTATGTTGTTCTCCTCCCGGATTGAAGATGCCATCTGCCAGGGTTGGATTGCTTAATAACACATTTTTGTTCTCAAAAGCCAGGCAAATTGGTGAAACTGAGGCCGAGGCCCCAGGACGCTCATCTCATCTGTACCTTCTGGATGCCAGCCTGGAAGCCAGGGAGGTGGCTGCACTTGAGCATCTGGTGGAGAAGGACTTGGGCCAGGGTGGCGTCCAGCAGCTCCAGATCATCATAGAAACAAACCAACAGCCCCAACCTATGTGAGAAGATAAGGGAGACTGGTGGGGTTGCTCAGACCTGGGAGCAGTCAGACCATGAAAGTGGCCTTCACTCACCTGCGGCATCCTGTGCCCTCCATCTGGATCATCACCTCTCAACAACCCCACGGATTATTTCCATTAGCCCTGGGTATGGGCTGAATGTGGAGCGTCACCCCCAAGCTCATGTGTTTGAATGCCTGGTCTCCAGCTGGGGGCAATCATGGCTGGAGGGGGTGGCTCACTGGGAGCAGACAGTGGAGGAGGTGACTCTCTGGGAGCAGACAGTGGAGGAGGTGGCTCTCTGGGAGCAGACTTTAGAGGAGGTGACTCTCTGGGAGCAGACAGTGGAGGAGGTGACTCTCTGGGAGCAGACTTTAGAGGAGGTGACTCTCTGGGAGCAGACAGTGGAGGAGGTGACTCTCTGGGAGCAGACTTTAGAGGAGGTGACTCTCTGGGAGCAGACAGTGGAGGAGGTGGCTCTCTGGGAGCAGACTTTAGAGGAGGTGACTCTCTGGGAGCAGACAGTGGAGGAGGTGGCTCTCTGGGAGCAGACTTTAGAGGAGGTGACTCTCTGGGAGCAGACTTTAGAGGGTTATAGGTGACTTTATCACCTACCCACACAGATGATGCTAAGACTTCAGAAGAAAAGAAACAGTCAGCATAATGTAGGAGCAGAGGAATGCAAGCTCCAGAATAGCTGAGAACATTATAGCTCGTGGCTAACAGCATAAAGTCAGGCCAACTAGAGTTTGGAGGCCCATTCTGTGAGATGTTTGACTCCTCTTTGAGGTTGCTGCATACAGCAGTGCAGCGCATACTGTGGGCTACAGTACAGGATGAGCCTGTCTCCCTGAATCTTAGTAGCTTGGCTCGCTCTATTCATCACAGTGCATCAAGGGAAATATAACAATGAAGGAATGAGGGTGACTGAAAGCAAAGTAAGGATAGGCAGGCCCAGTGATGAGTCTTCCTGGTGGACACTGAGCACTCACTCATTAGCAAATGTTCTTACAGATAATATGAAGACTATCTAGATCAACATGGCCATTCCGGCTGATTGACTATAAGCAGCCTGGTCCAACCTTCTCAGAGATAGTGACATATTCAGCCATGGACACAAGAGATTATTAAGCTATAGAAAGAGTAAGATGTTGGTTACCAGGAACCAGGGGACTGATGTCAACAGACACAAAATTTCTCACAGTGACAAAAAAATTGACTAGCACTATATACTATATGCCATAAACAAACAACTTTATTTGCAAAATAATTTTAGAAAAATAGATTTGTTGAACACATGCAGTGTGTCAGACATGAATCTTTGAGAGGACCTAATGAGACAGGGTGATTCCTGTCTCCCGTTTTATATATGGATAAAGAAAGACACAGGGAGGTGATAAGATATGGCCAAGGTCACAACTTGCAAGTAGCAGAGCTGGGATTAAACCTAAGAAATGTAGCTCTGGGTCCATGTCATTAATTGCCAGGTTATTTTTGTGTGTATAAAATAGTAAAATGGGATCCACGCTAATGGGTGACAGGGAAGATTGTGACATATTCCCAGATGAACACCCACTCTACAAGGACTCACTGGGAAGATTTTAAGGTAATTCAGGAAGGGACAGCCAAGACCCTAAAATGATGAAGAGAAGAGTGTGTGCTGAATAGGTTTTTGTCAACTTTACACAGCTTGGGGTTATCTCAGAAGAGGAAACTCAGTTGAGAAATGTTTCTATCAGATTGGCCTGGGAACATGTCTATAGGGCATTTTCCTGAATAATGATAGATGTAGGAGGGTCCAGTCCATTATGGGTGGGGCCATCCCTGGGCAGAATACATCCTGGGTTTTATAAGAAAGCAGAATGAGCAAGCCATGGGAAGTAAAGTCAGTAAGCAGCACTCTTCCATATCTCTGCAGCAGTTCCTGTCTCCAGGTTCCTGCCTTGAGTTCTTGCCGTGACTTCCTTCAATGAGGGATGTGATAAACCCCCAAGTTGCTCTTAGTCGTGGTATTATGTCAAAGCAACAAAAATCAAACTAGAACAGATGGTTCTCACCAACTCCTCCCAAGCCTGACCCCTCCCTCCCTCCAGTATCAGGCAGCCCTGCCTGGAAATGACTAACGATGAAGATCTCAGTGCCATGACTAGATTCTAGAGCTTACATCATCCTGGGGCTCCCCAGACGACAGCTTGACACAAGGGATCTCCTTGAACATGGAAACCCACCAGCTGCCTCCAACACTTGTTCCAACCTAATGGAAATGCCACATTCACCTTGCAATGGCACGCTGACTAGTGGAGATGGTCTAGCTCCAGCTTGGGACAGGAAGAAGCACAGGAGAAGTGACAGAAAATGCCTGGTCTCCAGGAGATGCTCAAGGATTTGTTCCCTTTCCCTTTCCAACATTTTTGAAAGGCAGTGAGCCCTTGGAAGCAAATCCCTCTCCTCACATGCACAGAGAAGTGTGGGTTATTATCAGGGAACCCTGGATTTACAGTCACTCCAAGATAGTTGGTTACTTAGGCTACATTTGTGGGGGGGGGTGCAGGTGTGTATGTGTGGGTGCGTGTGTATAAGTATGCATTCTCATGTGTGTATCTATGTGGAGGCCAGAGGATGACATCAAGTGTCTTCCTAAATCTCCTTCCACCTTGCTTATTGGAGACAGGAACTCTCAGTGAACCTGGAGTTCATCAGTTACCTAGCCTGGCTGGCATGCCAGATCCAGGATCCTCCTGTCTCTACCTGGTGTCCTCCCTCAGTGATGGGATTACAGGAACATGCTGACACACCTAGCTTTTTGCCTGGGTGCTGTGGAATCTAACTCAGACCCTCATGCTCTTTGGCCCAGCACTTTCCTAACTGAGCCATCTTTCCAGTCCTTGAACCAAATTTTGGAAGGGCCCAGGGCCACCCTTGCCTGTGGATGGTGGAGATATTCCTCATGTCAAAGCTGGAGCAGCGGATCCTCTCCAGAAATGCCTGAGCCAGTTCAGGGGTGACATCATACACGGTGTCCAGCTGCTTGGTGGCGTTGTCATAGCTGATAAATATCCCAATCTGGTAGACAAGGATGGGAACATGGGTGAGATCAGGGAGGAGGGTCAAGTGGTCAGTGGGGATCCATTCTGGTGCCCATCTCAGGCATATGGTTATGACCCAGTTATCAAATTACTTTATTTCTCTTCTTTTATTATTATTTTTAACTGTTCAGTGTATATACTCATTGTATATGGCACTATGCTACACAAAGATATTTATATGACTATATATCATTTGTTGAGCATTCTCCCCATAGCCCCTTATCCCTCCTCTCTTTCCCCATTTGTTCCCCTAAATATTTCACTGCTACTTCCAGGTTTTATATACACACATGGTTTTATGTATCTATAAAATCTGGGAACCACAAGTGAGAGAAAACATATTTGTCTTTCTGAGACTGACTTAATTAGCTTGATATGATTATCTCCAGTTGCATTCATTTCCTGCAAACAACATAACTTCATTCTCTATGGCTGAAAAATTCCATTGTGTAAAACTGGACTCAATGAGGGAAAGAAATAAAGAAAAAAGAAATCTCAAAGCTATGTAGGTGGGAAGGGGTAGGGGTGAATATATTCAAAATATAATGTATAAAATTCTTAAGGAATTAATAAAAATATAATTAAAAAGTAAAATCCATGCTAATTTCAAATAAACAAAGATGATAGAGTGAAAATAGGTCCGTTGTGTACATAGAGCATATTTCCTTTATCCACTCCTTTCCTTTCGGGCATCCGGTTGGCTCCATCCATCTCTTAGTTGTTGTAGAGTGCTACAAGGGGCACTCATATGCAAGTGTCTCTCTCACCTGCTGACTTGGAGGCTTTCGGGTAAATAGCCAGGAGTAGTGTAGCTGGGTCATATGGGAGATCTAGTTTTGGGGTTGCGTTTGTTTAGAGACATGGTCTCACTCTGTAGACCATACTAGCCTTGAACTCACAGAGATTCACTTTCCTCTGCTTCCCAAGTGCTGGGATTAAAGGCATGCCCTGAGTTAAGGCTTCCTTCTTGTCTAATCCTCACTGGCATATTTTTTAGTGCTGAGAAAGGAATTGCAGTTGTACACTTCCAGGCTGGGCAGGAAGATGTTACTTTTTAACATTCCAGGGACTGAAGATTTTTAAAGTCAATTGTTCCACTTGTGGTCCTAGACTTATTGTGCTGAGAACAGACAATGCAACCCTCAAATTTTCTGCTTTGAAGAGTGAACATTATTTTTGAAATGAACAAGTTTATAGATGGCCCTGCAATGATAGACAGCGAAAGTGTTCTCTTTGCAAGATACCAAATTTTAGAATATATAATAAATATAGTGTTAAGTGTATGTTCAGACTATACATTTCTACTCAGTTTTGCCTGTATGTCCAAGGGAATCACACTGCTATCTTATACTCCAATAGGACTCATGGTAGTTTTACCTCTTTCTTCTAACAAACAATGCATTCTGTACATTGGTACACTCTAATTTTACAAAGTGCTCAATTGCCTGGGGAAATAGCTTGGTGGGTAAAGTCCAAGCATGAGGGAAGGGTTCAGATGACCAGAACCCACAGAAAGAGTCAGACAGGCATGGCAACACTCTGTATCCCAGCACTGCAGGGGCAGAGAACGAAGATCCCAGGGCCGAACTAGTTAACTATACTAGTCAGAATA